CTCCTTTCTTGGAAACAATAGAAATGTATATGTTTATAGTTTTATAAGTCAATTTAAACTTTTCTTATTATATTTTCTATTCCTCCTTTCTTGGAAACAATAGAAATGTATATGTTTATAGTTTTATAAGTCAATTTAAACTTTTCTTATTATATTTTCTATTCCTCCTTTCTTGTTTAGCTTCATTATCCCTTTGATTTGGATCCCCCTTTTCGTTTCGGCACAGTTCCTCTGGGAAATACCTGGACCGTAATAAAGGATCGCAAACCTAGAATGTTTACTTACATGAAACGTTTCAATCGTTCGTTTCCAATAGAAGGAGTCAAAGCCGTCAAAACTGGGTGAGATATTTGAAATATTTTTAATTCAACGTATATGTTTTTAAGGACAAATTGTTTTAGTAATATTTACCAATAATATTTAACTGAAGAGGTTTAGGTAATTTTACTTTTCTAATGAAGACAAGTGATTATACTTTGCTTTTCAAATTTAGAACTCATCTTTAAGAGGCAGTTTTGTCTGGATTAATATGGAAGATATTAAACCACATTATATAGTGTCAGCATTTTATATATCAGTTTCTCTCAAAGCATTTTTCTTATCTTTTAGTTATATCGTACATTGTGAACATAATATAAAAGCGCTAATCACAATATTGTTGTTGTAGTTGTTTTGCAGAAGGAATTCGGTTCCATAAAAACTACGATTATGGATAATTCGTATCAGAATAAAACTAATCATTTAATAAGTTGTATCGTATTTACCAATTTAAACTTGTTTTTTCGAATTTCCTATCTATATTGAAGGAACTCAAAAGAAGTTAATCCCTCAAATGAGAATAAAGTTTCCAACTGTTTTGTAATTTTAAATTAATTTTTTAACAGCTGCACTAGATTTTGTTTTTCTGTTTTAGTCCTTGGTGCTATATCGTAAACTACTCTCTTTATATGTAACTATAAGCAGATAAAACAAATTGATTTAAATAATTAATAACTATCTTTAGATTCGACTAATCAACGGAGTCAGTTCTGGTACACATGGATAATTTGTTATGAGTATTTCTGATATTTGTCTCAATAAATTAGTATAACTCATGTAGGTGGAGTTCTCTCGATGTGTGAGTAGTTTAATGGAATTAACCCATAGATCTTTGTGCATGTAATTGGTACACCACATTATCAGTCTCTTTGGATTTTTTTTTAATCTACAAATAACTCATAACATTTTATTAATGAATGTGAACTGTCCGGGAAACGAAACTAGTAATGTAGATGTCGCTGTTGAAAGTTTTACTGCATAGTTTATCAAAGAAAATTGGTTTGGCTTGTTATGAATTTCGCGCAAAGCTACACGAGGATTATCTGCTCTAGCCGTCCCTAATTTAGCAGTGTATGACAAGAGTGAAGGCAGCTAGTCATCACCACCCACCGCCAACTCTTGGGCTACTCTTTTACCAACGAATAGTGGGATTGACCGTCACATTATTACGCCCCCACGGCTGAAAGGGCGAGCATATTTGGTGTATCAAAGAAAATATGTATATGTTCTATCATAATTTGATCACCCCAATCGTAAAATATCCTTTATAAAACTCATTACAATTAATACGTTGATAAAGTTATTTTTAATATTATTATATGTGAAGAATACAACTTACCAACAACCAACTCGTGTGATTTATATGATCATTGTTTTATTGTTATTCTATAAACATAATTATTGATTTTTGGATTTAAAAAAATATGAAATATTCATTTAAATTTTAATTTTTTGAGGCATTAAGTGCCAATTTAAAAATTACAAAGATCACATATGCCTAATAGCGCAGGAAAATATAATTATCGTTTAATTAAACGTACTTAGTGAGTGGGTGTTTTAAAGTAGAGACAATCACGCAGAACTTCCAATTACTGACAAATCGAGAACTTAGGAAAATAAACTGTAAATCGTGTTCAAATCCTACACATACATATATATATATATATATATATATTTACTTCCGATCAATATTATTCGTAGCCTGAAGGCATCACTTAGGCTATTCGTATTTATAGAACTTTGAAGTTAGTAAAATTGCTGTTTTAACCATCTCTCTACGTTTTTCGTTGATCGTTGAGTGCATTATTATAATCTCTAAAGATTTTGTTGTTGTTGTTTATTTCAACTGTTAAAGAATAGACAGGTTTAATTACTTCAATTGTAGACCCGAATAACAGGAACATTTTCATAAATCACTCAATCATATTATTTTGTTAATTAACGATACAAATATACTTAGAAACACACGGAAATTTGCTTTATTCTGTATTTAATGGACAATCAATAAGTTGCTTTAGAGAGTTTGTGGCATCAGACATTACCCCTTCAAATAATGGTTAAATGTGTTTTCACTATTACATTATTACAATAAGTAATATCAGGAAATGATATCTATTTATCTTCTCAATCATTCCTTGAGATCAAAATAAAAATGATAATTAAGGATAATAACTTATACTTATTTTGATTACTGTAACGACTTAAGCCGAGGTTAATATTTTATAGTTGTTCTAATTACTGTAACGACTTAAGCCGAGGTTAACATTTTATAGTTGTTCTAATTACTATAGCGACGTAAGCCAAAATTCCTGATAACTGTTACGATTTAAGTCGAGGTTAAGCTGGGGTTAACATTTTATACTTGCTCTAATTACTGTTAAGGCTTAAACGGAGGATAACGAATTATACTTCTTCTGAATACTGTAACGACTTAAGCCAATATCAACACTTATAATTGTCGTTATTAGCGCTACGACTTAAGCTGAGATTAACGTTTCATTCTTGTTCTGATTACTGTTACATTACGACTTTTTTAAAGCGAGTTTAACGTTTTAAATATATTCTGATTGTACTAGTATTGTTTCAACTTAAAGAAAGGTTAACGTTTCATATTTGTTCTGCAAAAAAACATACTTTTTGATAATTTGTCCTTCAGACTTGACAACTAACAAAACAAAAAATGAACTTAGATAGTCAAATAAAGTACAACATTCTTTGACGAACAAAGTATTTTCTTCTTCCTGCTCAACACTAACAATCTTACTATATATATATATCATATTCTTCTTCCTGCTCAACACTAACAATCTTACTATATATACATATCATATTCTTCTTCCTGCTCAACACTAACAATCTTACTATATATACATATCATATTCTTCTTCCTGCTCAACACTAACAATCTTACTATATAAACATATCATAAGTCTCGTAGAACACTTTCATAGCATCACCGATATGGCATCATGTAATTTGATATGATCTCAGCGTTTTCACTATAGTGTTTTAAAGACAATTTTCTCTCCAACACAATGTTCAAATTGTTGCGGTATTTAATAGAAACATTTATTGTTAGTATAACAACATTTTATTACGAATATTTTTCGAACTTTAAAATTATCCAAACGTTTTAATATATTTTGGACGTCCTCATGTAACTCTTATACAGTTATATTTCACTGTACATACAGAGAAACAACATATAATTATTTGGGTTTTGATTTCTAAATTCAGGCAGTAGTAGTTAATATGCCTTTCTACAAATCGGAAGGTCTAAGGATCGTGAAGTGTTAATCCATTGAAAACACACCGCGCTTTTATCTCTGATGGTGTTATAACCTCAACAGACAATCTCGCTATTCGGTTAAGAATAGCGGTATAGACAGTGGGATCAGCTGATTGGTTAACCTCCCAGTGGTCACCTATGCCTGAACCTTTAATATTAAACATAAAGTGACGTCCAGTGACAAATTAAAATATCAATGTTTAAACTCCCTAAAAGAAAATATCAGTACAGAATTATTTGCTCCTTTCATATGTAATAATCCATATCTACAAAAACGAATGGCTAAGACATACTTATATAATGTCACAAGAAAATCAAAACTTCATAGCTCTTTAAAATAAGAAACGTTGTTTCTGCCAAAACTAAAACAATTTTGATTTTCTAAACCGAAAGATTCTATGATTGAAAAATAACATTCTGAATATCTGCACTGACGAAAAGTTTAGGGCTAAATACAAACAACACAACTTACTAAAATCACACATAAATTTATCTTTTTGAAAAGATGGAAAATGATTTTATATATGTTTCTGCTCAATATGATGTAAGTTGTCATGAAGAGTCAAGGTTCCTAGGAGTACAACCACTACCGATACATAAAACAATTCAACACAAACAAATCACGTCATAACTGCTAAGCAAGGCAGTATCCGGACTCAAATATTTAAGCATCGTATTTTTATATCTTGCATGTAATATATCGCGAAAATATTAATATAATTTTAATAGGCAATGTACGACTTTCGGAATATAACTTTGTGTTATGGATCCCCACTTCTTACAAGACTGCACTTTTCTTACCATGACTGGAGGACAACTTGTTGCAAGTCTCTTTCTAGATGGTCTTGTTGCTCCAAACTAATTCATATTCCATTGTTTTACAATGTCATTAAGTACAAGGGATATCATTTTCCTGGAAATTATAAGTCCCCAATCTCATACATCTTTATGATTAGAGTATATGAATATTTTGCATCAGATCTGCGGTTACATATCCCTCCAGAAAAAGATCGATTTTCAGTGCCATCACACTACCTACACAACGCCAAACAAAGGCAAGATGATACATATCGTTCAACGGCAAGTTTATATTGGCTGTGATTGTCATGTTTTTTTTTACTTATTTCGACATTCAAAATCATATAAATATAACTCTGTACTTGTACTTCTTGGAATTTTATACCCTGATGATAGGTTAGACTTTAGTAAATCGTTTCGTGATTCGTTTCAACTTTTAATAAACGTATGATCATTTTTCTAAACGTTATGTCACTTGTATTAAATAACCTTGCCCATGAAATCAGTATAGAATTATTTATTTCTTGAATTGAAACGAGTGAAAGATAATGATGTAAACAGACGACTCAAAGTTTAAACGAAACTTTATTATTGTTTTGATAATGGAAGGTTTCAGAAAGCGTCAACAAACTGATATTAAAGTACATACTGAGTGAGAAAGAGGAAATATTCAAATACTTTCTCCATGATTAATCACTGTTGCTTCTTATCATAATGGTCCCCCGGTGGGAGTGGTAAGTCTAAAGATTTACAACACTAAAATCAACGATTCGATTCCCCTCGGTGGACAGAGCCCGATGTGGCGTTGCTATACGAAAACACACACACACACACACCTTATCATAATATATAGATACATAGTTTCTAATCACGTAATCTTGTACATAAATTGGGTGCTACTATAGCGTGCGCCCTACAAAGATATTTACACCATAGCGTGCGGTCTACACACACACTATCATCATCATTTTTTTAGTGATTCACTAAAACACAATTTCTTGCCAAATTATTTATTGATTAAACGATATAATAAAGCATAATTTCTTGCTTTAACAATATACACTTCGAATATCATTTAAATATGTTACAAATATATCATCTGCATCCTGAACAACTAGAATCAGGGTTTCGATACCCGTGGTGGGCAGAGCACAGATAGCCCATTGTGTAGCTTTGTGTTTAATTACAAACAAGCAAACAAACAAAGCATCCTGAACAAAACGTGAAGTTTGCCCCCCCCCCTACGAGTGCAGCGAAGTACAGATCTAAAGTATCCATCTCGGACACGTTTCCTTTTTTCTTTTCTGGTGTATTCAGAAGATTATGCTCACGTAAAAATGCTACGGCGGTGTCTTCTGTCAAGATTACTTTTCTATAGAAATCTTTAAGCAACATTGTTAAGGGAGATAAATCTTTTTTCTTTTTTTTTTCTAGTTGTCAAAATCGTAGAAGCTACAGGCAGATGTTCGATAATAATGTTTGACTTCAAGATGCTCCCTTCTATTTCCACATTCACCTCGTCCGTCAGAGACCTCCAATAATTGTCGTTAATTCTGGACCAAAGATATCTTTGTAGACCGCACGCTATAGTAGCACCATAAATTGTTTACTGAATCAAGTTTAACATAACAAAAAATTGTATATTTTAAAAAAACAATTAAAAAGTCATTCTAATAGTAGTAAGATGGTATATTCTTCAAACACCGAAATTCATACTTCTATGAATTTGAAAATTTATACTTTATTTTCTAGAGAATTAGACGCTTTTATCTACGATGCCACTGTCCTGGAGTACTTAGCAGGACAAGACAATGAATGTCGACTCCTTACTGTTGGCTCCTGGTTTTCTATGACTGGCTACGGTTTTGCTTTCCCTAAGAAATCCAAGTATGTCAACATGTTTAACAAATACATGATCCAGTACAGAGAAAATGGTAAGATGTTTCACAGTCTTTGCTTTTTTTATCATCTGGATATCTATTTCTGATATGAGAATTATTTCATATATTATTTTCAAAAATCTCTAGTGAGTAAATATTTCTAGATATTTCCAATGCGCCCCCTACCTAGTGGTGCAATAGTACAGTGCCTTGCAAAAGTATTCACCCTCTACCAATAATGTCATATTTTAATGAAATACAAATAATGTACGGCAAAAAATGTGGAAACTTTACAGGTGAATGAATACTTTTGCAAGGAACTGTAAGTCTGAGGTTTATAACACAGAAAATCGGGTTTCTAGGCTCGTGGTGTAGCTTTGCGCTTAACAACAAACGAAGTTTCCAATATTGTTTTTGTTGTTTTTTTTTGTTTGTTTGTTTGACATAAATGAAGTATATTAATGGTTTGTTTTGAATTTCATGCAAAGCTACAAGAGGGCTATTTGTCTAGCTATCCCCAATTTAGCTAGTCACCACCCACCGAAAAATATTGTCCTATACTTTTTAATAGTGAGATTTACCGTAACATTATAACGCCCCCACGGCCGAAAGGGCGAGCATGTTCGGTGACGAGGTTTCGAACCCACAACCCTCAGATTGCGATCGAGTGCCTTAAACAACATGCCACGCCAGGCCCGTGTATTAGTGTGGGGTACCTCTTTGTCTTCGCGTTTGCGATGATCGTATTTGTTTTTATAGATATGAGTTTCGAATTAGTGGAAGCCAATTTTCTATTTCAAAGCATTCATTCACTCAATTTATTGTCTATTATATTTTCAATGAATATGTCCAGCTTCATTAGCATGCCTTTTTCGCCTGAAGATTCTTTTTTTTTGTTGCCATATCCTACACTTTATGGATGAAAGCATTGCTCCTTTTTGGCTTGCGACATGGTTACTAAGCTCTTTACTATCCTACACTTTATGGGTGAAAGCATTGCTCCTTTTTGGCTTGCGACGTGGTTACTAAGCTCTTTACTATCCTACACTTTATGGGTGAAAGCATTGCTCCTTTTTGGCTTGCGACGTGGTTACTAAGCTCTTTACTATCCTACGCGCACAGCTGTGAGAGTTCTTTCGCTTCCATGGAGAATACTGAACGTTTTTTTGTTTTGTTTTTCTTCCGGGATGTTGTAGCCTTTAGCTCTGTATCGTTTAAAAAAGTCGTCATATGAGCATTAATTATTTCACGGATAAGCTGTAGCCTAAATATCCAGACAAAACTTCAGTGGCAGCATCACACCGTCGAATGATTGGGAATCTATCATGAACCAAGTATACATTTGTCATAACCTGCTATGATGTTCCTCTGCATTATTACCATATATGTACTTCCGCAGGGTCCTCGAAAGTGTTTTGTTTCAAGAGTAAATAAAACCAAAATTAAGAGCAACAAATATTTATATTTCTTGCTTTTGAAGTTCATATGTCATGCTGTGTTGTATCCTACAAAATTCATAATTCTTCTCGTGATGCATGGCATGCACGCGTTTCACTGATGTCATGAAAGTACAAATTGCAACGTTAAGAGTTCCTTATCTGACGTCATTTTAGTGTCTACTGACTGACTGACTGATTAACAGACAACAACACACTATTGCATAGTGGTGCGAGTGGTTAAAACAGATGACCCCTCCAGAAGGCCTTCAGCCCTCTTTCGGGGAAATTATTTCATGCGAAATACGATTAACCCTTTGTGCATAAATGTCATAATTTTTCATTTTCAACCAGTATGTTTTCTATTTTTAACATTAGCACTGAATACTTAGCTCCTTTCAATATGTATCAGTTCTTGTAACTTGCATATATTTTTCTTACATAGTGCTAGTATGTCTTTTAGTAAAGAAAAATACTATAGAATGTTTTATTGAACAAAACGTAATAAATAAATGGAATCTGTTAGATTATCGGAACCAATTACTGAACACTTGTCACAATTTCTCTTTAAAAAATATTTATTTGTAGTTAAACACAAAGTTACATAATGGTCTATCTCTGCTTGCACGCGAGAGATATCGAAACCCAGCTTTTAGCGTTATAAGTCCACCGACTTGCCGCTGTGCCACTAGGGAGCGATTAAAGAACAAATCGGTTCTCACAAAATGTTAAACTGTTGAAACAGTAAGGGGTGTCCCATTAACGTTAAGTTTTAGTTCCACCTACAAATTCCTTTGAGAATATTAAGGAAGCCATTCAAAAAGATAATTGTGGTCATGATAGGTTAACAAATATTTTAACTCTACATGTATCACATACTTAACAGACGTGCATCGAAAAGACAATGCAAATCATTTGACAAAAACATCTTATGTAGATTCTTTCCAAATTACTTCTTGGATCTCATGAAGAAACAGGACAACATAACGAGTTTCGTGAATACTGCAGCGTTCCAATAAACACCCACATACAGATTCATAGCTATACATACAAATCAGAGGCATCGGAACAGAGATTGCTGTAACACCTTCACTTTTACATACTTGACTTACATAGCAACTGTAAGTTATATTATTATATTAATTTTCTAGGGGCATGCCCCAAACCTCCCTAGATTCAATTTCTCATTGTAAAATCTGCATGTTTAGCTAAGCACCCCCACTTTGTAACTCCTTCCTACACCATTGCACATATACAGTGCCTTACAAAAGTCTTCACCATATAACATGATTATGCAGTTAATATTTGGTTGAAGCTCTTTTGGCAGCAATGACAACTGAAAGTCGTTTTGGATAACCCTCCACTAGCTTTGCACTGTATGCTCCAGTTCTTGTAAGTTGGAAGGATGTCTTCGATACACAGCAATTTTCAAGTCTCTCCACAGATTTTCGAGTGGATTTAGGTCTGGGCTTTGGCTTGGCCAGTCAAGGACTTTAATTTTGTTTCTACGAAACTATTCTTGGATTGCCTTTGATCTGTGTTTGGGATCAATGTCCTGTTGAAATGTAAACTTTCGATCGAGTTTTAGTTTTTCAGCTGACTTCTTCAGGTTTACCTTGAACATCTGTGTATATTTTGCACTGACCATGATCCCTTGAATGTGTAAATGTTCTCCAGTGCTAGCTACAGATAAACATCATCACGGCATTATGAACCCACTACCATGCTTGACAGTTGGGACTGTATTTGCCGGGTCATGAGCAGTGTTGGGTTTCCGCCATACATACCATTTGTCATTTAGCTCAAAAAAGTTTTATTTTGGTCTCCCCTGACCATATTACTTTCTTGGCAAGGTTGAGGTAGTGTGACACACTTTCCATTTTTTCAACCGATTTTACAGTACTTAATGGCAAATTGGGAACCTTCGAAACTGATTTATAGCCTTCTCCGGAACTGTGCTTCTGAGAAATCTTCTTCTTTAGGTCTGTAGAGAGTTCTTTTCTCATCATTCTCAATATGTAACAGTAAACTAAATTTTAGCTTTCAAAATACTCTGCTTAAATCATTACTGGTGGCTCTATATGATTTCAAGTATTTTTTCACATGGCTCTATAATATACTTTGGTATTTGATAGAGTTGTACAGAGCCACTTGTATATACTTTAGCAGGGTTGTGACGTACAGTTAAATCAACGATAGTAGAAGCTGAAGGGGATGAAGACTTTTGGAACGTGTTTTCAAGATTTTTTTTTGTGTTATATCACTAAATTGGGTAACAATGCCCCTTTTGTTCTTTGTAATCTTTAAAAACTGGTCTGAGATTAATATAATAAATATTTTTGGTCATTTGAGTTATGTCTTTCACAAGAAAATACCTAAAATTTATTACCAGCACAGGGGTGAAGACTTTTGCAAGACACTGTATATATATATATATATATGTGTGTGTGTGTGTTTACACTTGTATACATAGGCACCTAATCTCCACTACAGAATATGGTACATACTATTTATAACACGTTTGTGAAAAGACGAGTTGTTTTAAACATAAGTAACACTCATGGGAAATTACTTTTAATGGATCATTTTGAGAATATATTTTCAGTTAAATCTTTGTTTCAACTGTCAAGATCAAATATTTTGAAGTTGACGAAGAATAAAATTCCTTTACTGAAATGATAAAAAAATGTTAAAAGCCTGGAATTTCGGTCTTGCCTGTTCAGTGAAATTTTAAAATTTGTATGTTCTTAAACCACCTTTCTAGGACAGGCTAAAGATGTACTGATGTTTCATCAGCTACGTGCTTTTGACAGCGAGTTGCGTGTTTAATACGTACATTTGTGCTACTCGTGTTGTAAAGGGTATTACAATTATCAGTTTTTGTATGTGTGCTTCAGACGCTCTAGGCTAACGATTTAATCTAGACATACTTTCATTTTATTCGCATGTGATATTAATAACTACTTCTGGAAAATTACTTACAGTAATAACTAGTAGCGTAGCCAATGCAGGGACTGGCTGTTGAAATGTCTTAGCGAGAAACGAAAAATTCTCGACGTATAAAGGAAATGAAGTTCATATAATTAGTTTTTTGTAGTAGGTGTAGCGCTAAGTAGGTAAGAAGGGAAACAAAAAATCAACGAACTGACGGAATCACGCGTTAGCGCGTAAATTATTATGCCATTTAATTTCTAAGATTAAATGTTTCCCGTAAGAAGAACGAATAACCTGGCTAGTTTTTTTGTAGTAAGTGTAGCGCCAAGTAGGTAAGAAGGGAAACAAAAAATCAACGAACTGACGGAATCACGCGTTAGCGCGTAAATTATTATGCCATTTAATTTCTAAGATTAAATGTTTCCCGTAAGAAGAACGAGTAACCTGGCTAGTTTTTTTTACATTTGCATTTGCCTTAGACAGGCTTCCAAATTAAGAAAACGGTGCAAATTGTTCACCTCAGCCGAGTTTTTGGCATTAAAAATACATCATGATAAGATTTACCCCAGGCAAGCTTTCTGTACTACGGATAG